TATTGATGATGGTTTAGTGAGCTTGTGATTACGGGGCCGAGGGTATTCCGGCTACTCACTTAGACAGATGTAGTGAGCCTATGATTATGGAGCCGAGGTTATTCCGGCTGCTCACTTTGGCGGATATATATATGTGAGTGTGCATTGCTGTCGAGTTTGATATCTGTATTGCATCATTTCACTATTGGCATGACATGACACGTATTTTATGATTAACGGGAATTAGACTTTATTTTAAAAAGGTGTGAAATGACATATTTCACGTTAGTTCTTAAAATGGATTTAATTCTGGACTGCTTCTAAGATAATATTTGTTTCAGGTATGCATGGCACATCCGAGACAGGGGACCTCTCGAGATATAGAAAGATGGGCTGAGTGAGTGAACTTACGTCTATTGTATTATATGTAAATTTTTAATCGGAAAAACCTCTTGTTAAGGGGTGTGTTTTGTAAATATTTATAAATCAGATTCTGTTATATAATAATGCGCTTTTATGGTAATTTTAGCCTTAACATTGTATTGTGGGGCCCGAAGTAGGAGGTGACGACCTCATGATGTAGTGTGGCGGTAGCATTTCCAGTCTGAGCCAACTGGGGGTGTTACAAGTTGGTATCAAAGCCTAGGTTTGGTAGATTTTGGCTCTTTGGATTGAAAAGGTTTTGAAAATAATTATGATATTGAATTGGTTTGGCGAGGTTTGGGTTTTGTAGGTGCATTCATGTTAACGTGGTTTATGCTTTAATGTTATATCTGGTTTAGTTGTGTTGCTGAATTGATATTGAATCAGGGAAGTCGGGGGGGAGGGGGCAGTATGTCAAATTCTCGAGGTGATGGGTTACGTAGGGCTATTCGAGGCCCAGAGCTAGATCCTTTGTCTGATGAGTCACAATATCCTATGCCAGAGCATGTACCAATAGAGGCACCTAGTCAGGATTTTTTCCAGCAGTTTATGGTTGCGATGATGCCTCAACAGAGGAGTTTTATTGATGTTGTGATGCAGCATAACCCGCCAACATATTCTGGTTCCGTAGAGCCTGGAGTTCTTGAGTTTTGGGTTGAAAAGATGGAAAAGATATTTCGTGTTGTTCAGGTTCCACCAGATCAACGAGTCAATATTGGGGCTTATTTCTTGGAAGGTCGAGCAAATCGGTGGTGGTTAGGTGAGGAAGCTACAGGAGTGGACCAAGTGGATATGAATTGGGATGAGTTTAAAGCAAAATTAAAAGCTAGGTTTATACCGTCTCATGTTCAAAAATCAAAGAAGCAAGAACTGCTGGACTTGAAGCAGGGTTCGATGTCAGTCGAGGACTATTTTGTAAAGTTCAATGAGCTGGAGATGTATGTTCCTGACTACTTTTCCTGTGAGCGAGATAGAGTTGATCATTTTGTAGATGGGTTGCAGCAGAGGATTCAAGAAGCTTTAGCTGTGTTGGATATCAGTTCGTTATATGAGGCTTACGAGCGTGCTGCTTGATTCTATCAGAAGCAAGAAGTCAGACAGAAGGCAGTGAGAAGGAAATGGGGTATCAACATCAGCTTCGAGATAAAGGAAAAACTAAGGTGGAGGACGAACCAAAGGGTAAAAATAAATGGTGGCAAATATTTAGGTCTGGGCCATCGTATAAAGGGATTTCGATTAAAGAACCGAGTCAAGAGAGGTTTCAATAATCGGTGGTTGTTTGTCGACGTTGTGGAACAAGTCATTCAGGTACCCGTTGTGATAAAGTTTCATTAACATGTTTTAAGTCTGGTGGTAGTGGTCATATTGCCAGGCTATGCCCAAGTGTGGTAACTGCAAGGGAGTTTCCAGAACCGAGATTTAGGCCATGGCAGCCGCCATCTTCACAGTCACAGGGGAGAGGATTAGGACCATCATGGCGAGGTGGTCGAAGCCAGTCACGTCCATCATCTAGGCAGCTAGGCAGAGGACCTGACCAGCGTGGCAGAATAAATGTGGTTACCCAAACAGAGGCTGATCATCACCCATGTGAGGTTTTAACGGGTAGATTTCTTGTTTGCAGTTTGTCAGCTCTTGTGTTATTTGATTCGGGTGCAACATTCTCATTCATATCTAAACGTTTGGTTAAAAGATTGGGTCTGAATTCATCGGTAGAAGTGGTAGTGGAAGTTTTACTTCCATCAGGAGAAGTACTGGAGTGCCGAGAACTCTATATGCAAATTCCGATTAGTATTGGGGGAGTTGATTTTGCTACTAACTTGTTGAGTATGAAGTTATCCGAGTTCGATGTGATACTGGGGATGGATTGGTTAATGGCATATCAAGCTCAATTTGATTGTCGAAAAAGATCAATTTCGTTGGTTGGAGCGATGGGTGAACAAGTGAGCTATGCAGGATCTGCAAGACGACCTTCTATGAAGGTAATTTCATCCCTATCATTTCAAGCACTTATTTGTAAGGGGTATCCGGTATATATGTGTGAGGTAAGAGATTTGAAGCAAGGGGAGCAGCGATTGCAAAATATTCCTGTGGTTCGAGATTTTCCTGATGTATTTCCTGATGATATTCCTGATATGCCACCAACTCGTGAAGTAGATTTTACTATTGATATTGTGTCAGACGTCGAGCCAGTATCAAGAGCCCCATATCGCATGGCACCATTAGAACTCGCTGAACTTAAATTGCAACTACAGGATTTACTGGATAAAGGTTACATTCGTCCTAGTACATCGCCTTGGGGTGCTCCAGTTTTATTTGTGAAAAAGAAAGATGGAAGCTTAAGGTTGTGTATTGACTACCGTGGGCTGAATAAAGTAACGGTAAAGAATAAATATCCTCTTCCGAGAATTGATGATCTATTTGATCAACTGAGAAGTGCAAGTGTATTCTCCAAGATTGACTTGAGGTCTGGATATTATCAACTAAGGGTTGCAGAGCATGATATTCCTAAGACAGCCTTTCGCACTAGATACGGTCATTATGAATTTACGGTTATGTCCTTTGGCTTGACCAACTCCCCGGCTGCGTTTATGGAATTGATGAATCGAATTTTTCAACCATACCTTGATCAGTTTGTAGTGATATTTATCGATGATATCTTGGTATATTCTCCAGATAAAAAGACACATGCAAAACATTTGTGTGTGACACTAAACACACTGCGTGCGAGGAAGTTATATGCCAAGTTATCCAAATGTGAGTTTTGGTTGAAAAAGGTTGCTTTCTTGGGGATGTGATTTCTGGTAAGGGTATCTCAGTAGATCCTTCTAAGGTTGCGGCAATCTCGGATTGGCCAAGACCTATCAATCAATCAGAAGTAAGAAGCTTTTTGGGTTTGGCAGGGTATTACCGAAGATTCGTTCTTGATTTTTTGAAGGTTGCGAAGCCATTAACTAAATTGTTGAAGAAGGACACAATGATTAATTGGGATCGTGAGTGTGAGTCTTCTTTCTTAGAATTGAAACATCGATTAACTTCACCATTAATCTTGGCTTTACCAGTAGAGGGTGAGGATTTTGAAGTTTATAGTGATGCTTCGAAAAGGGGATTGGGATACGTCTTAATACAGAATCAAAGAGTTATTGCTTATGCGTCACGACAACTAAAACCTCACGAATAGAATTATCCTACACATGACCTGAAGATGGTAGCAGTTGTGTTTGCTTTGAAGATTTGGAGGCACTATCTTTATGGTGTCCATTGTAGAATGTTTACTGACCATCAGAGTCTGAAATATATCTTCACCCAAAGAGAATTAAATTTAAGACAAGGAAGATGGTTAGAATTGGTGAAGGATTATGATCTCGAAATTGTATATCATGAAGGCAAAGCAAATGTTGTAGCCGATGCCTTGAGTCGAAAACCAATGCATAAGTTGGGTTATATGTCAGTTGCCGATGAACTGTATCAAGATTTAGCACGGATGGAAATTGAAGTACTTGGACGGGGCATGACGCGGGGATATTTGCAAATTATGCAAGTTGAGCCTGAAATTTATGATCATATTAGAGCGGCTCAAATAGAAGATAATAAGATGGTCGAGTTGGCTATAAAAGTTCAGTGCGGTCAGACTCAAAAATTTAATATTGCTTCAGATTGGAGTCTTCGATTCCATGGGAGGTGGTGTATCCCAAAGGACCGAAGCGATTTGAAGGAGAAAATTATGAGTGAGGCTCTTAATACACCACATTCAGTGCATCTAGGAGGGATTAAAATGTATCAAGACTTACGTCAATATTTTTGGTGGAAGGGCATGAAGAAGGATGTAGCCAAATTCGTTGCGCAATGTTTAAACTGCCAAAAGGTAAAAGCAGAACATCAGAGACCGATGGGGTTGCTACAGCCTTTAGAAGTTCCGCTCTGGAAATGGGATTCTATTGCAATGGATTTTTTGACAGGACTTCCAAGGGCGAAGTCGGGAACAAATGTAATTTGGGTGATTATAGATAGATTGACTAAGTCAGCAGTGTTCATCCTAGTACGTATGACTTGGAGCATGCAGAAGTTGGCCAAATTATATGTTCATCATGTGGTTAAACGACACAGTATTCCTGAGGTAATCATATCGGATCGTGATCCATGTTTCCAATCTCGATATTGGCAAAAATTGCAAGAAGCCTTTGGTACTCAGTTGCATATGAGTACTGCATTTCATCCAATGACTGATGATCAATCAGAGCGAACTATCCGTATTCTGGAAGATATGCTAAGAGCTTGTGCAATAGAATTTCAAGGAAGTTGGGAGGACCACTTGGATTTAGTGGAATTCTCATATAATAATAGTTATCAAACAAGTATTGGAATGGCTCCTTTTGAAGCTCTTTATGGACGAAAATGCAGGACTCCTTTAAGTTGGGATGACATGAGTGATCGACTGATATTAGGTCCAGAAATGATCGAAGAATCAAAAAATAAGATTCGAGTTATCAGGGAGAAGATGAAGGAAGATAGCTCAAGATCGCCAAAAAAGTTATGCCGATAGAGCCCGACGTGAAGGTCAATTTCAAAGTGGAGATTTCATCCTGATAAAAGTATCTCCAATGAAAGGTATTAGAAGGTTTAGAATTAAAGGAAAATTGAGTCCGCGTTATGTTGGACCCTATGAAATCCTCGATCGAGTTGGGGATTGGGCTTATCGGTTAGCACTTCCTAATTCCATGGAACGAATTCATAATGTTTTTCATGTATCGCAGCTTCGTAGGTATGTCGCAGATCCTTCTCATATTTTATCTCCGGATGAGTTAGAGCTAAATGAGGATCTTTCATATGAGGAATTGCCTCTTTGGATCATGGACACAAAGGTTCGAACTACGAGGAACCGAGATATTCGTATGGTGAAGGTAATGTGGTCCCGGCAAGGAGCAGAAAAGGCCACGTGGGAAGTAGAACAAGAGATGTTCAAGGCATACCCACATTTGTTTAATTAATTAGTGTTGTTATGCGTTTGAGTTTAGATTTCGAGGACAAAATCTTTCAAGGGGGAGTGAATTGTAATACCCCGATTTTTTGAGTTTATAAAATAATATTATTATAGCAAATAAATATTTTTATAATATTTTGGAATCAAGAAATTAATATTCTGGAATAAATTTTATTCCTATTTTATATATTGATTATAATTGAAAAGACTGTTAAACGGATAAATATCGATGAAGATAAATATATAATTTAATAATATAATATAATAAATAAATAAGATAAATATGTTAATGATAATAATAATATAATATAATAATAATAATATAATTATATATATAAATCAACTTACCTGCAAAGCGAAGGAAGGTAGAAGAAGAACTGCGAAGGAGAAGAAGAGAAGGAAGAAAAGAAAGAAAGAAAAAGATTTAGCCGTTCAATTTTGATTCTGATTTCGGTATTGTATTATTTGTTTTACGTAGAATTTAATTATGGATTTTAATATGAATTTCAATATTGGGAATATTAAATTATAAATTCTTCAAAAATTCATAACCGGCTATTTGGCTATTTAATCGACGAATTTCTTTAGCTAATAGCCTATTCGTAGTCCTAGTATTATATTCTGAGAATTTCGTATCGATCCGAGCCAAATTGAAAACGGAAGTGTATTGCACCTGGCTGTTTATTCATATCTTTCAGTATTTTTATTTAATAATCGGGCGATATAAATATTATGAGGTATAAGTTTTATAGCTAGAATATCGTAGTCTACTAAATATAAAAGTTTGAAACCCAACAAGCTAACTATAGAAATTAGCTTTTGAATAAGCAGGTAGCTCCTATGTATAAGTATATAGCTCAACTGATTTGAGTAAATAATGGGGCAGGTGTACGTTGTAAGAGATTTGGGTGAAATTGCGGGAGCTAGGGAGTGTCGATAAGAGGTAAGCAGTAGGGAATTAAATCTAATTTTAAGAAATTAGGTATGCATGTTGCATGCGATTCTGATTAATATGTTAATGTGATATTATGTGAATCATTTTGTCAGTACATATATGTATTTATATATATGTGTGCGTATGCATGCGGGAGACTTCACGGTTTATGATATTTGATATACGTATTTGATCGCATTGGTGAATTTATGAAAAGAAGGATAGGTGAGCTGTCTCACCAGCCTTTTTCGGTAAATTCACTTATTTGGCATGTTGCACACATATTGCACGGTTTATCGGATATGATTTATGGATCTATCGTCTAGTCGTCGTGTGCGGTAGTGCTAGGCGAGGGCATCATCTGGGGTTAGGATTTTCGACCCCGATGTACCGTAACACTTTGGCGATAGTGGACGATAGTAGTCGGACAACTGGGTGACTTAGTCGCACGGTCATTCAGGGATTAGACCCATTGTAGTTGAGACATATTTGGTCTAATCATTCATGTTCGGTGTTGTTTCACTCATTGGGCTGGCCACTGTTGAGGTCTACCGGTAGTTTAGGATTATATGCCAAACTCCAAACGTGATCCCTTTAGGGCGCGCGAGGAGGAGTAGAGTTTCCGGATTTCTCTTGGGTGATTCCAGGTTGCACGGATTCTACTACATTACACGGGATAGGGCTAGTCAGTGGGGGTCCTATCTTCGCTATCACAGACTATGGGGCATCTTGTGATTAATGACGACAACGTTCAGCTATCCATGTATTGATTGTGGGAGTCGTATGGTGGGTATATGGAAGTGACCGGATGACCGTTATATTATTATGGGTTTATCAGGTCCTTCCTTGAGCCGAGGATTTTTCGGCTATTTATTGATGATGGTCTAGTGAGCTTGTGATTACGGGACCGAGGGTATTCCGGCTACTCACTTAGATAGATGTAGTGAGCCTATGATTATGGAGCCGAGGTTATTCTGGCTGCTCACTTTGGCGGATATATATATATATGTGAGTGTGCATTGCTATTGAGTTTGATATCTGTATTGCATCATTTCACTATTGGCATGACATGACACGTATTTTATGATTAACGGGAATTAGACTTTATTTTAAAAAGGTGTGAAATGGCATATTTCACGTTAGTTCTTAAAGTGGATTTAATTCTGGACTGCTTCTAAGAAAATATTTGTTTAAGGTATGCATGGCACATCCGAGATAGGGGACGTCTCGAGATATAGAAAGATGGGCTGAGTGAGTGAACTTACGTCTATTGTATTATATGTAAATTTTTAACCGGAAAAACCTCTTGTTAAGGGGTGTGTTTTGTAAATATTTATAAATCAGATTCTGTTATATAATAATGCGCTTTTATGGTAATTTTAGCTTTAACATTGTATTGTGGGGCCCGAAGTAGGAGGTGACGACCTCATGATGCAGTGTGGCGGTAGCATTTCCAGTCTGAGCCAACTTTGGGTGTTACACGTTATGCTAGTTGGTAAAGTGTAATCGCCGAACTTCTAGAAGCTTTTCATGTGCCTATAAATAGGGTCAAGTTTGTAATTGGTAATAATTCATTTACTGTATAACAAAATCGTTATAGGAAGAGCTCAAGCTGTAAGAAGCTCCTTCAGAAGTCTAGCTTGGGTGGTTGATAGCACTTTTAATAGGAGTCGCGTGCTCGGTTCCCATCCCATTACGTTATGCACTTATAATAATTTACTACTTTCATAATGTAAATGCAAATGCAAATTCCTTAGTTAATGAAATATCATTTTCTCTATCTCACCATCGCACTTGAATGACATTAGTACAAGATAACAGTCTCGTGATGCGATAAGTATGAATTTTGGTTAAAAACGAATACAAGTCACTTGATTAATCTCGTTAGAAGGTTCTGAAAGGTTTTCAAACTACTAGGTCGATATAGGACCCATCGTGAAAGAAAAATCTTGACATAATTTGACTTAGAATAATTGAAAGAAGGTAGGGAGCGAACTAATCTCATAATAAATTAGTCATGAGTGTTGAGGATAACGACTTGCAGGACTTTTAATAATGAATTCAGAAATAGATCATTAGCTCAATAATTGGGGACTTAGTATGCCTTTTCCGTGATTACCTATAGGCCTAGAAAACCATTGTAAAGGCGACACACTTAGAAAATAGAAGTCTTATGCAATGACTCACACACATTACTCTATCACATGAAGTATATAAGTATATCACAAGCATATTCCTATTTCATCCAACCACCACTTCCATCTCCATCCCAGAATAATATATTTCTATCATCCACACACACTATTAAATATCTCACCCACCGCTACCATCGTGATTCCATGTAAATCCATCACACGCCACAAAAAAAAAGACCATCTCTCACTTCAACCATCCAATGACCTTCACTTCATATCTCGTCCATGATTTACATTTTTCAATTTAAATTCTTCTGTTAATGCAATTCAATTCCTAAATTCAATTTCATAAACGATTATTTGACTTAGTTTTTTCCTCATATTAATGCCCTGAGTTCGATTTGGCATTCACCGGTTAACATGGAAAAATTCCATTATTTGATGAAAGCTTCTGAACTACAACACAACGTTCCTTAAATTATTTTCAATTTTGTCTCTCATTTGGATTCAAATCAAGTAAAAAATGATTCTTTAAAAAATAATTCATTATCGAGCAATGCAAAGTGGCAGGGGTTGAAATTTTAATGAAAGAGCCACTCGCAAACTTGATCCTTGCATCGCCACTAGAGTTCCACCCAGATTGGCTGGAGATGATGGGATTCCTAGTAGTGAAAGCCTATAAAGTGATTGCAAAAAGATAAACTCCCATATCTACCTCATCCAAACAATCGCCCACGAGAAAAGCAAGGAAAGCTAAAATGCCACCATTGCCACCTGTTCCATAGAGAAGATTGAGTGACAGTCGAGGTAGCGCCGCTTCAGAGTCTGGCATAGAATCTGAAGACTTTGTCATGTTGTTTCAGCCTAACAAGAAGAGCCTGTCCAAGCAAGATAAAGGAAAAAGGAAGACGGGAGAAGAGAAGGATTTAAAAGCCAAAATTGGAAAGGTCGCAAGGAGAATGACCAAAGGGATCGCGAGCCAGGAACTATAGCCACAACAGACCAATCCCATAATTACAAATAGCGCCAAAAAAGGATGGCTTGTTTTCAATGAGAGAGGTAGGTTTTGAAGAGAAGGACTTCATGAAACCATAAAATTCAAGAAACCTCTAAGAAGCCCATGGCCAAACTCCGCAATGAAGTTATCATCATGGACTCTGACTAAGAGGAGGTGTCGTAACACTCAAAGGATGACCTGGAGGAGTAAGCGAGGTGACTAGAAGAGGAGGTGAGTAAGTTGGAGGAAGCTAGGGAAGCTGCAAGGTTGGAATAATTAGCAAGGTAGAAAAAGTTGGAAACAAGATAGAAAAGTCTGGAGGAAAGAAAGAAAGAAACAACATAAAAGAAGATAGGGAAGGAAAAAAGAGGAGAACAAGAAACGTGAAGAATAGGAAAGAAATAGAGGTGGCCCGCCGAAGGGAAAAAGCGAGTGAGAAGTAAATATGAAAAGATTGGATAAGATCGGGATCTAACTCATGGAGGAAACAAGGCTATGCGAAAACTAGGAAGAGCAATTGTGATGCGAGCAAGAAGAGGCCAAGGCAAAAGCTTACATATCATCGTATTGATATATATATCATAGATTCATCTCAACAATCAAAGGAATGCAAAGAACAACAATCACTACATCCACACAAGGTATTGATATATATATCATAGATTCATCTCAACAAGATATCAGACACCCGTTGCTACTATCATTGTTCCTTTGTAGGTACAATTGGATGAACTCTAACACAAGGTTTCCAGAACTCATCACAATATTCAAGAGTTGAGAGGAGAAATGAACACAAGATTCACACCAATCGAATCAAACTTGGTGGCTTTAGTAAGATATTTCAGAACATTGCCAATCGCTAATAAAGTTTGTAAAGAAATTAAGTTTTTTTTTTTTTTTGTGTGCCTACCTACATGACTACCTTTTTGATTGCATACTTAATTGTTTAATTATAAGTATGTGTTAAAACAAGATAGATCCTTATGTGTATTTTTATGCGAGCATGTTAGTTATCGGTTTTGGTGATCTTTAAACACGAACTGATTATTTTGAAACTAAAATTAGTCAATAATTATGATGAAACACAATGTAAGTAATGGATTGAGTGATTAAATCGTCCCATTTTTTTTTATATTTTTCCACTCAATAAAATTGCATGAAGCCTTTTTTTGCCTCTGCTAAGCTAGCCTGTGATAGCACCGAATCGATGCTCATGTGTGTTGATAAGAGAGAAAGACAATCAAAATAATGAGATCATAGAATATAAAATATCCATAATTTGACCATAGAAAAAAGAAAAGAAAAAAAAGGAAAAAATCGCAAAATCGAATAATGATCAAAAAAGAAAAGAAAAAAAAGACATCAGCACTAAAATGAATATCATACAAAAATATGTCTTAAAAAGAAGGATAAAAAAATATTTCCAAAAGATTAAACAATCCACCAAATCAAATGTAGTCCACATAGCAAACGGAGTTTGAATTGACCCGATGGTGTTTGGTCCACAGTTCTAAGAATCATGTTGATTTCTTTGAGATTCTTCTTGAGTACCATCGCAACACTTTTCTAGGAGGTCATTTATAGGCATAAAAATGTTTTGGTTATATTTTTGACTGAATTTACTTTGGGATGAACAAAGGTTAGTGTGAGTAGGTTTGATAACATTGATTTTGAGTATGTTCTCCCAATGATTTCCGAAAGAGAAGAAAACCTAAGTAAATACTATCGTAAGCACGATCCGATATCCTTCTAGCACCGAACCATCCTCTATGAAGACACCACTTCAGTTGACACTTTGGAGAGCTCTTTCACCTTCTCAAAATGCCACGAACTTGAGGCTTTACACTCGAACCCAAATTTTGAAACTAAACCTTATGAAGCATGCAATGAATTACATTTCATGAAATATTAGACTAAAAGAGAAGTATTGCAGTTAAGCATAAAAAAAATTATCATAAATGATCAAATATTCACTAAAAAAATATTTTTGCTTGGTATGTAATACAAAGCACCCAAGGGCATCTATTTATAGAAGTGGGGGAAGGGAAAAGTGGAGTGTTTTTTAAATGTGATATGAGTTTTGTATAAGTAATCTCCCAATGAGAGACACCTAGCCTAATGGTTCCCCATGCATGTGAGAGGCATGTGGGATTTCTTATTATATATATATAAATGGTTCCAAGGGATGGTCCCCCACTAATGCATGTGCAATCCTAGGTTTTATGTAAATTACATATTAAACCCTCTATTTTTGGATACTCCTAGGTTTGCACAACTTTTTCGTTAGTTGTCCGATTGAGGTGTTGCAATCTCCAACGTAACCTTCAATACCACGGCACTCGCCCTAGGCATTTCATCAAATACTCTTATCTTGTAACATAGTCCATCGGTTGGGCTCTAATTCTTCAATTTCTTTATCAAGCCTTGCAATTTTTCAATGCATGACTTCGTTCAAGCTCTCGAAACTGGTCCGATTGGAATACACAAAATTATAAGTCCCGACCTTTGGGCATCTAGGTCACTATACTCTTCAATCAACTTGTAAGATGATGTATTTAAATGCAACAATTTGAAATCATTTGCCGATCACAATAGGCTATAAAAGAAAAATTATTGGCTAATTTTCTCGATGTTCATCCTTTACTATTGAGTAAAAATTGTCCCATAATTTTCCAAACAAAGATGAACATCTTCAAATTAATCCACCATGGAGAATGTACATTGATTGTTTGGCATACAAAAATGGAGCCGCAACTAGGTAGTGTTCATCTCATCATAATTTTTTTTTTTTTCATACTTCTTCATTCTAAAAGAGAACTATTCAAATAATATGGTTTAGTACCAAAAACTCATCCTTGGCCTACCAATGAAAGTTGACATCAAGAAACAACAACTTCAAGTATATGAAGACTCAAAGCATGACATCAATCAAATAATCAGAGAATTCAAGTTAAAAATAAAATAAAATAAAATCTAGGGTTGTTAGTTTACTTGAAATATGAAGCAAGACTTATCAAATGGATTGGAGATTCCTTTATCAAATATTTCAAAGAAAGGAGAATGGCAAGTCGATTCACTGGCCAAGTTTGCATCTGCATTATCTATTTGAAAAAAAAGACACACATATTCTAGTACGTAAATCTGGAGTGGAATTTTTTTAAGTATGAAGATACGAAATATGATTAATAATAATAAGCCATTTCATTGAGTTTTTTGAAACTTAAAAAGAATAAGATTGATGAAAAACCGTTCTAAATTTCTTAAAATATGACAAATTTCCTAATAACCCACTAAATTGAGAAAATATCTGAAGAAGAAGTCATCTTATACTTTATCTTCGGCCACTCAACAACATGTTCCTTCGATATTTGCCAATTATGAAGTCAAACAAGCTAGAAAGAAAAATTATGCCAAAAAATTGTGAAATCCATCAAGCTAGCTTAAAGTTTTACTTCCAAATAAAAAAGATGGAATCTTATTAGTCAACCATTGTCAAAGATTCCATAGATTTTTCATAGAAATGTCAGCGCCGTCAATTTCATACTAACTTGATTAATCAACCACCAACTAGTGTACCCAGTTATTAATTTAGGACCATTTGATACTTATGGATTGGGCTATGATTTGAGCGTACAAAAATTTCAGATATCTCATTTATTATAATACTTATTTTTTAGTCCTGTAATTATAATTATTCTAATTAAATTAAGTGTTTATTTATCGGCTAATTAGCTATTCTTTTGGTGAGAATTGGTTAAAGGAAAAACTCGTTGATACTTTCAGATTAAAATTCTCAACCGTAACAATTAAGGTGCTCCTCTCCATCTAATATTAAATGTGATATTTGATGTAAAAAATAACTTTAATATAATATTTAGATAAAACTAAATAAAAATGAATGTAACATGTTTCAGAGTTTTTTTTTTTTTTAATAAATAGTCCTCAAACCAAGATCGAAAATATATGTGAACGGAGAGAATCTCAATCATGTAAATATATTTGTTGTTTAGTGTTAACATCAATTTGGCGAAGTGAACTCTCCCTTTAATTTATATGGCAATAATAAAGCAAAACATTTGTAATGACGTCTTGGGACTGCAGCAACTTGCAGTGATTATCTACTTGCTTCTATGACCATATGTATAAACAAAAAAATAATATATATATATATATGAATTATATTTAAAAATGAAAAAAAAAATTGCCATTGATGTTTAACGAGAAACTACAAGTTGGAATTTCTTGTTTGATTTGTCCAAAACTGAACTTAATTTTCTTCTTTTTCTTTTTCTTTTTTTTTTTCTATTTTTTAAAAACATGTGGTTTCATGTGCATCATGTATATTGTTTGAAAATGACTTTGAAATTTAATTCGAGAGTGACATGAATCAATAAAGCCACATTACATTTATAAATTAAATATAATATATTTATATATACACTATATTTAGGCAAAATTACTAATAATTTATGTGTTTTGAAAATTCGGAATCATATTCCCGTATGATTTAGAAATTGCGCAATATTCCTTCCTATTTTTTAAAATATTACACAAAGTTCTTTAAAAATTGTACAAGACTCCCTCATATTTTTAAAATATTTCATAAAATTCTCTAAAAATGATTATGTGTAATATTTCAATAACACATTGTAGTCTCATGTACTTTTTAAATTATAACAAGAAGTGTGTGAACTTTTCAAATCACATATGTGTCATAAGTAATTTTGGCCTATATATATTACTTTATATCACTTGCCTATTTATTTAATATTTTTAGTTGTCTCCAATCAATATATATATATATATTTTTTCAGTTGTAGAAAACTACGAAAACACTTTTTGATGAACCTGTAAATGAAAATAGATTTAAATTTTATTTATTTTATTTTTTCAAATTATTGATAGAATTTCATCAAAGTATATTGAATACTTTATGTAATAAACAAAAACTTTATGTAATACCAAAAAAACTTTATGTAATAAACTTCCATCCAAAGTTTTTAACAACCAAAAAAACTTTATGTAATAAACTTCCATCCAAAGTTTTTAACAACCAAAAAAATGTTTTTGTCATTTAGGTATTGAAACTCATATTTTTCAATTCTTTTATATTGAAAATAAATGGTTTGATAGTAAAGTTTTTTTTTTTTTTTTTTTCATTAGTTGAAAGTTACTAATCGGTTACAATATGTGTATCATAATGTAAAAATGCACCGAATCATCAAGAAGAAACCCTCAGATCTTTTGGTCATTCAGTAGAATAATTACTTCCTAAAGCTAAACTTAGATATAGTTATTTCCAGTCAAATAGCAATTTGTTTGCTTATGCAACAAATCAAAGTATTATTCGTATAACAATTCATGTAAGATCAAATTATAGCTATTTGTGGCCAAACTTTGGCAAATTCAAGTGGATAAATTATGACAATAAAGATTACAGTGGAAATTATATTGATCCTGCAATCAATAATTAATATTATGGCTAATCATAGTCAAATCATTACAATTCGTCTACTCTACATCAAAAAAAATCATAATATGACCATTCAAGCTTATCGTCACTATAATCGTTACATTTTTAGTGTTAACATGACGACCATAGTGGGAGACGACTTCGGATCTCCTGTACCGCCATATTTCCTGCCCTATCTGCTTGCCCAATAATAATATAAGAACGTGATCTTTTTTTTAAAAAAAAAATTTTTTAAATAAATTAAATTAAAAAAATTGCAAACAAGACCTTTCTTACTTTATTTTCCCTGCCAGGGTTCTCATCATTCCCCTATTTTATTTTTAAAATGTTTTCATTTTCCTTCGATAGTGTACGTTCCTCTTCGCTGTGAAAATCATCGCTCCCATCAGGTCATCTCCAACAAAAAATGGGGGAGGGGCTCCAACCCACCCCCAAATCCCTTAGAGTGAAGTTTTTGTGGTGTTTTTTATATTTTTGATATTTTTTAGGTGTATTGTGTAATTTTAATTTTTTAGTAGATGATATATAATTTTATATTTTAAAAAGTTGTATGTAATTTTATTTTTTTTAAATAATGTATAATTTTATTTTTTAAAAAGTGATATAATTTTAATTTTTGGAAAGTAATATATAATTTTATTTTTTAAAAAGTGATATAATTTTAATTTTTGGAAAGTAATATATAATTTTATTTTTTAAATTGATATATAATTTTGAAAAAGTGATATAATTTTTATTTTTTTAAAAGTGGTATGTAATTTTTTTTTTTTGTAATAAATTGTTATGAAATAATAATATTACGTTATCTTTGTTTAATTATTATATCATATTTGTCTTGATAGTATTTATTTATTTATTTAAAATTATTTTATTTGTAATAGTTATTAATTATAAATGTTAATTTTATATATGTAATTTTTTTAAAAATAATTTATGTGTATGAATCTAATATAAAAATAAATTAAAATTGAAGTGTAATTTATAAATATAAAAATTTATATAAAATAATATAAAAAAGAAATATATAAAGAATATATTTTTAGCGTAAAAATTGAAGTTATGGTTCAAATATAAAAATTACCTTAACTAGTGCATAAATGGAGCGAAGGCTTAGAGATGGTGTCAAGCCCGTCATCGCTCATCTCATCCCGCCGATAGTTTTGTCTACTAGTTTCGGTACTGAATTTTGTATGTTTATTGATGTGGTTTTTTAATTTTCGATTTAGATTTCGTAGTTCGTTTCCTAAGTTTGAAGTTTTGATGGTTTTTGTTTCAAAGGATTATTGGAGATTGCAGTGATAGGGAAGAGGAAACATCTATATGTTCCAAAAATTGACACTAAATAACAATACTTGCGGGTTTAGATCTCCTGCCCACAAATGAATACTTTGAGGTTTTAGGAAAAATTGATATTTAGGATTTCCCCTTAGTCTTATGGGTAAATCGAATTGGGTTTCTGCGGACTGGAGCAGATGCTTGAAGAAACTGGGCAATTTTGTAGGCAATTGTATTTGTAGCTCAAATTGAAGGCCACCCAGTTGGCTTATTTTTTTTAATGATACATGTATTTTGTCTTCGATAATTGGCAATTGAAGGGACTCTGAATAAACAACGAGTATTTGAACAATTAGGTTGTGCTAAGGATCCCTTGATTTTTTGGTTCTTTATAATAATTAGAGTAACTGATGTGTGAAGAGGTTGCTTTGATAAGCTCTATCTTGTTGAAGTTGTGAAGTTTTTAGCAATATGTTGCTCGTGCTTGTATGTCTTCTGGGTATATAGTTAGTGACAAATTTAGAGACGTGAAGACGCTGCTTTGGTAAGCTCTCTCTCTTGTGGAAGTTGTGGAATATTTACTTGCAAGACATTGCCTGTCTTTGAACTTGTTTCATTTTTGTATTCGTAATTGTTTACAGGAAGTAGACAGCCCATGCCCATGCCCATGCCCATGCTACCAACATGGGAGAAAAACATTTGCAAAGTAGGAGGATCGTTTGACTGGGGCAAAGCAATTATTAAAGAGCTACATCATGCAGCATGGATGACGAAGAATGTAATAGCTGCCGTGCCTTGTTGGCCATTAATTCAGAGTAACAGGCTGACAAGGTCGATAGCAGCTGCACTTTTAACTGTGATGTTAAAATTCATGTTAAGCTAAAATTCATATGGTTTTGGCTTGAGGTTTAAGTAGCCTAATTATAATATAATAATTATTACATCGTTTCAAACATTTCCTAATTTTCTTATAATAGTTTTTTGGAATCTTAAAAAGTAAAAGTAGATATGAAAAATAAATGTTTGACCATTTAAATGATCAAATATTTAAAAGAACGCCACTATATGATTAATAATACTCCCTCCCTCCCATATCGATTTTTTCATTTTAGTCCGTTCCATGACAAAGTATCAATTTTCTGTTTTAGTAACTGTACTATCTACCTAACATTACAAATACCCTTACAACTTACAATATATTACACAAATGTCATTACCTTTATATCGCACATACTAATAAGGTTATTTTAGTATTTCTACTTTATTCCTACTAGATCCCAATATAATACTAATATTTCTAAAATTACGTGCAAAAAACAAATAGATATTTACTTATAGGACGGACGGAACGGAGGGAGTAATAATAATAATATGACAAAGCAGCAACAAATATTGATAAGTCAAAAATTGCACAAGCAGAATGCATCAAACACTAACTAACCAAGATAGAGATATAAACCATAATAAAATTTCAAGAAAAAAATCAAATTAATCACCATAACATTATTATCTTTTAGGATTAATATATATTAGAAAATTTTGAGGATTAATACTTCGTCTTAAACAGGCTACATCAATCAACTACAACATCAACAGTAAAATATTTGATGTTACCAACAAGGCAATAACAATTAAAATAATAATGAAATCTCAATCGAAAGCCTACATTAATATGTCAACCCAACCCAAGTGCATTGACAACCATATCCACTAATTTGTATAGCATTTCACATTCAAGTAAATGATAACAAAACCATCTATGATAAGACTTATTGTTGTATCCATTTGCTAATGCACCATAGCCTTCATGCTGCTTCAAAATCACCTAGCTGTTACTAAGTGGAGCAATAATGACGCAAAAAAATATTGCTCTTGAATGGCAAGATATCAACAAATTTTGAAAGACCTTTGAGACAGCAGGAAAAAAAAAATAAAAAATAAAAAATAAAAATTTAGAACATCAGTTACTCAATGAAATTCAAACACAAAAATATCAAAGAATTAATTCAACGAATCGGTCTTCCAACCTCGAGGCTCCTGCTGCCAACAAGACTATCAGATCACTTCTCAACATCTTTTGCAAGTACCTTAATAAACATAAGACAAGTTTCACTCCAAACTACCTAATGTTCCCCCCAAATCCACAAGTTAAATTGCACTAAAATAAAATAAAATATTAATGGGTATAAGAACTTAACAAATTACTACAAATCACCCAAAGATCTAGGTACACAACTTGAAAAAAATCCATAATCACAGGACGCTTGAACCTATATAGATGTAGGTATTAGTACTTGAACAAAAAAACAACAATTATTCTATATAATCACAAGATGCAATATAAAAAAATACCTCAATTAATTCCGTGAAATTCAAAGCGTAAGTCAAGTCATTGGGGGCATTGACAATATATGGTCGGCATTGACTTAAGTGTGCCCATATAATTAATAATATGAATTAGAAAAACAAAATATAACTATAAGCAGTGAATTACAAGCTCCCCAAAAAGTATAAATAAATAGATGAACATTTTGTGGGGCAATTTGATTGTGCTCTAATGCAATGTTACGTTCTTCAACACATGTCTTAGTTATGGATGATTGTATAAAAAATAAATAATTATATTAATATCAAGTAAAATAATTTAATTACAAATCAATAAAACTAATGCACATTTTTCTCAACTAATAATACATTTCTTTTTACCTCTATTTGTTTTTTTTTTTTTTTTCTTGGAGTTTTTGTCCAAACCACTTTGGGTCTTTTTCGGGAACGCATCTTTTCTTTCATTTTTATCCCTTTCACTTGTACATTTCCTTCTTTCCCGGAAATCTCTCCAATCCTTAGGCCTAAAGGAGTATCTCTCATAGATGATCATTTATCCAAAATATTTCTACTGTGTAAATATTTATTCATCTTTTCAGCAGCATTCAGAAACGACTCCTTTATCAATTCATACATTTCTTTGGTTTTTTAAGTCCTAATGACTAGTTTTTTGTAAAACAACCTCAAATCCTTATACCTTCTGCTCACCACTTTCTTCGGATCATCGACCTCATCTTTAGAGAGAACCACTCCTCCCACTTTAGCAAATTTTGTCTATCTTTTTATCACATATTGCTCTAGAATCTTCAAAACATTATTAATTGTGAGGACTTTCAACGCATGAGAGCATAACAACCCTCCAAATTCAAACTTCTTGCAGCTGCAAGAAACAATATCATCTAAAGAGTTAAATTTGACAACATGATACGATGATTTTCCAAGATAACTGACGTGGTATCCAACTATTGTTCCATCCGTGCTAGTAAGAACCACCACACAGTCATAAGTCTTCCCTAGTTCATTTTGAAAAACCTTAAAAACTTCAGGGGTATACACATTTGCAACATGTTTCAAGAGTTGAAAGGGCATAGGAAGGACTGGAGCACTTGTACTTTCTTTGAAATCGGCCGTCAACTCTTTATATCAGCGAGATTCAATCAAATTTTCGAACCGTTCATAAAATAATTGCAAAGGGTTCTTTGAACTTACATACCTTTTGATGACGTTTTTAATACTCTCACTACATTGTGTCATATTAATATCAGCACAAAAAAATGGACACCCATATACCAATGCCCATTTCTCTTTTACTCTAAACAACTTCTTAATCAATCATTTTCTAATAAATCATACTTCACTAACATTCATTCCATTCGTATAAAAACTCATCTTCTTCTTCACGATCATAAATGCATCTCCCAAAGTCACATGCAATCTTTATATTTTTCAAAAATTACACCCCAAATGTATTGCAACATTTTGATAGATGTGCCAAATACAAAACCTGTGATAAGTCTTAGGCCACCTTGTAGCCAACACATTCGCCATAGCATGATCTTGATATGTCAGAATAGTGATAGGCTTTTTTCCACCTATATGCTTGCGAAGGTATCAAACAACCTTTTAAATGAAGGTATTGTCTCATCATACAAGAGTGAAACACCAAAAATTATTGTTTGTCTATGATGATTGACACCAACAAATAATCCAAAAGGACGACTTTCTCTATTCTTTCTATATGTGGTGTCGAAGCTCACAACATCTCCAAAATCAGCATAATCTGCTTTCATTTTGTTGTCTATCCAAAATATATTAGTTATCAAACCATCTTCATCCACTTGAATAGAATATGAAAAATTCGGGTCTTTACTTTGCATCTCTTGCAAATACTCAAGAAATCCACCGGTATCTCTAACCTCCATATATTTTGTCTTAGTTGTCATATTCTTTAACCATAAGATCGTGCGAGACTTTTGGAGTAAGTCCCACACATTCTGCCATATCAATCTGCGCAGCATGAACATCATTTATGCTCCCATGTGACCTAAAGAAATGTGCTTTCTGATGACTTTTAAGATGATGCATATGTTCAGAAATGAACTCGACAACTTGAAAATTTGCATTCTCTTTCAAATAGATTTTCATAATAGCCTTGCAATCAAATCTTGTAATTGGCCATGGAGCTTTCACAGTGATACTTCTTCTATCTTCCCCCCGCTTCCCTTCAGCACTACGTGCAAATGACCTAGATGTTATCTTACCATTCTTATCTTTATATATTTTATGTCTTTTAATGCCAAAGCATGTTTATTTAGCATAAGCTAAATAATACTGATATGCTTCTTCCTTTGTGTCAAACATCATTCCAATTTTAAGAATTTCCGTCTCTGTTCTATTTACACCAATGCTGTCAAACTCCATATCGGTGAAATCTAATCTTCGAGATGATAGGGATTTGCTCACCCCTAATTCATCAAAATCCATATCATGTAAGGTGAATCACAATAAAATGAATGGTTCATCCACATACTATAACTGAACGAAATATAAAACTACCGATCTATTTAAGCTGACTCACAGATAAACACACAAACTACCATTAAAAGAATCTCAACCGCCTAGTGTTAAAAACCCCTCTATATGTTTGCAAAATAAAATTCAATCCCATAATATTAAAAAGAAAATATATATTGAAGATAAATTGAGTAAAATCCAAAATTAAGAAAATCCAAAATATAACAACATACATTAACTACAAAGTTTGAACCTAAACAATAAAAAGCAGTTTGAAATTACAAATGAATTCTAAATAATTAACTGCATACCAAGTGAAGAAGATGATGACAATTACAATGGGGGTGGACAACGATAGGTGGGATAGGCTGGGAGATGACTAACAGCCTGTGGCCGACGACCTTCGCAATAAAAATGCACACAGAGAACTAGCGAAAAAGAAGGAAAAACAATTTTGCAAAAATTGAATTGAGAATTAAGAAAAATGAATGGGTATTCTGAGCAGGAAAATGAAATGGTGGAAGGACTTTTTTGTAATTTTATAAATTTTATGTAATTTTTTCTTTTATATTTTCTTTTTATAAAAAGAGGACCATGTGTTGTATTTTTATTAAGCAGGCAGAGAGACAAGGAAATATGGCGGTGCAGGAGATCCGAAGCCTTGTGAGACACATGGATATAGAGACTTAATTGACCAATATAAGTGATCAATAAATGGTTTTATTGAAGCCATGTTAAAAACCAAGTGCAATTTGAACCTTATGATGTGTCATGTTATGTTAAAAAAGATGGTCATTCATTGTTTGCGCATAAGCATTGTTTGCACATAAGCATAATGAAATGGAGTCAACATCATTAAAAAATTAATTTTTCAAATACAATTGATTTAAAGAATGTTCAAAAGAAAACAAGAAAAATATTATGGTAATATCTAAAAATCAGGATAGGTAAGAAGAACAACAAGAAGAGAATCAAGAAAATATTTTGATTGCATTTGATAATCAAAATCTGCAAGTCTCCACTCTCGAGGAGCAAAATAACTCACTTAAATAGAATGGTTGCACAGTTAGATTATCACGTTTTAGACCTGATAAAATTTCAGATATGGGGCAAA